TTGCGGTCGAATCTGCAGGTCAGAGAGAAGGAGATTTTGTAGCAAGAAGATATTTTTGCATGCAGTTGATGAGTTTTGTGCTTGGACCGTTTTCAACAGCTCAAGAGCCACCTCAAGAACCTCAAGAACATAAACAAGAAGTCTTACATGGTCACAGCAGCAACAGCAGCATGAAATGCGAGTACTTTTTCACGAGCATGCCTGAGCTTGAGATGTTTGTGCCCGTGTGCATGGCCGTGCTTGTTGTGCTGGTGACAATCATTGTCTACTTGGCAGTGAACCAGAAGAGAGAAGAGAAGGTGAAGAAGGAAGAAGAGAAGCCTGAAGTAGAGAGACTCAAAGAGAGGCCCAAAGAAGAAGTTCCAAAGAAAGAAGAACACAAAGCGAAAGAGAAGATCTTGGAGAAAGAGACACAGAAGAGGTTGGAAGCAGAAGAAAAGATCAAAGAAAACAGAAGAAGATCGAGACCAAGCGCTTGCTCTGAAGGCGAAGATGGTCGCGAAGTATTCTGAAGCTGAAGCAGAGAGAAAAGCAACAATGAAGGAGAACGAAGAGTTAGAAGTAAGAGACCAGCTCAAGAAGGACTCCGACATGATCGACAAGTACATGAAGAAAGAAGCAGAGGAGAGAAGGAGAGCAGCTGAAGAGCTAGAAGAAGCAGAACAAAGAAGAGAGGAGGAAGACAGGACCAATGCAGAGATCAGGAAGGCGAACGAGGAAAAGATTGAAGCGGAAGAACGCCAAAGAAGGAAAGAGGAAACAGACACGAAGGCCGAAGCAATGAGACAGAAGGAACAGGAAAAGAAGGAAGCCCAGGAACGAGAGGCACAGGACAAGAAGGAAGCACAGGAAAGGAAGGCGCAGGAAGAGAAGGAAGCCCAGGAACGAAAGGCACAGGAAGAGAAGGAAGCACAGGAGAGGAAAGCGCAGGAAGAGACGGAAGCACAGGACAAAGAGGACGCCGAGAACGAGGCAATCGCAAAGGCAAGGGTGAAGAAACAAAGAGAAAAGCTAGAAGCCTATGAGGCCATGAGCAAGGCAGAGGAGGAAAAGCAGAAGGCCCACCAAAAGGAGATGGAGAAGCTGGAGAAGGAAAGAATGAAGGAGATTGAGGTCGTTGAAGTCGAGGATTCCGAGCAGGAAGGAAAAGAAACAGCAGGCTCAGGAGAATTAAGAGAGACACCAGAAGAAAGCAGAGAAGAGGAGCAGTCCCAAGAACAACAGCAGAGAGGAGCGAAAGGCAGCAAGAACCCAGGAAGTTGGAACGTTGTTACGTTTACAGAATGTGGTTGGATTTGGGAGTATTGTAAAGACACGAATGAGTATCGAGCAGTTCGGCTTGATAAGAAAGGTTCAGCGCAGTTGAAAGGCGCGCCGATCACAGGAGCCGAAGATTGGAACCTCGTGACCGAGAACTACAAGAACACAGGAAGGTGAGAGAGCCCAACTGAAGAGAAGGAAGAGAGACGAGCCGAAAGAGCAGCGAGAAGATCGGCGAGGCCACAGGGAGCAAGAAGAGTGGCAAGCCGACACCTGGCATCAGCAGCAGGACTGGTGCGCGGACGACAGTTGGAGCCAGAACTATTGGGATGCAGACTACGGCTACTACCACTACGCCCCAAAGGGAAAGAACCAAGGAAAGGGGAAATGGAAGTATGGTGGTGGTGGCAAGAAAGGCTGGTGAGCAAGAAGCCAGCAAGAAGCATCGAGAAGGGCGACGATTGAATGCAGCCTGAAGCTTGTGTAGATTTTCTGAAGCTGTGTACATAGAACTTCGAGCACCCCGAACATTGGCACGAAGTACAAAGTATGTACAACGAATGTTTGTGAATACGCAAGGACCCCAATACGCCATGTGATATTCACACGAGTTTCACAAAGAAGATAGTCTCACGAAGAGTTTCACGAAGCAGGACTAGGAGTGTAAGGTGCAGCCAGGTAAAGGCAAGAACAATTGAAGAAAGAAGATGGTTAGGTGAAGTGAAGACCACACAAGAGCCATAGGCTGGCCACAGGGCTGAGACTCACGAGATGACGACTCTAACACAAGCCCGTGTAACTAAAAAATCAAGGTTAGGAGTTTCTGCATGTTTCAAGAAACAAAGGAAAGAGAACCGGGTAAAAGACCATGGACCAATGGAGACGAATGTCCCCGGTACACTTGCAGTCCGAAACAGCTCTTCGTCTTTTGGCGCAGCAGTGAGAATCACTGCAAGACAGAGAACGCCCTAAAGCCTTCGACCTGTTCCGAGGCGGGGTGTTAAGTGTACGGCTTGTGTCCAGGTGCAGCTAATGGGTGCAGTAGGAAAGACAGAGAATGCCTAAGGCATGGTGAGTTCGTAGCAGAACGAAGTTGACACCGAAGGCTCAAGAGTCGAAAGCGAGAAAAGTTGTTTTGAGCTTTGAGTGTGGTAGGAAGTGTGAACCATGTTTTGCACCGTGTTTTTCAACATATGACCCGTCAGTTGAGAACTTACGTTGTGAAAGTGTTCGAAGCAGCTGGGCTTCCCATTCAGACAGTGAGTTGAATATCCCATCTTCGTGGTTTCTTTGGAGGCGGTGTGGCCGGTTGTTTGGTTGGCAGTATGAGATTAAACCATCCCAATCATGTTTGGGCAACGCTTATTTCTGCTGCGCCCCATCCTGGCAAAAGGCCTTTCGGGCAGCGACAAGCGAATGCCCGTTGGATTCCTGATTTCCTTTCCCCAGTCTGATTCTTGTTCTCTCCATCTCTCTCTTCATCGATGGTCAGACATGTCGCGAATTCAGCCACTTCGACGCTCGTGAGGCTTAGAAGTAAGTGTCGGTAAATATAACGACACTCTTTAACGACAACCACCTCCGCTGAAAAACCCTCCACCGTGCTTTCGGGAAAGATTCCTTTCAGGGGAGAGAAAGAAGGGCTTCCGTTTTTTCAAACCACCTTCGAGAATTATTTTTCAAGTCCCCCTTTAAGTCCTTCCTAATGCCCCATTGAATTCGAACTTGAGGAAGCCACCCTTCTCAAGCCCTCTTTGAAGCCCTTTCTCAAGCCTTCGTTGTTCATTCCCCCCTCGCCCCGGCGGCCATGACCTTTCTCAAGTTCGAATTCGAGAAAACCCTTCCTTCTCAAGCCCCCTTCGCAGAGTTCGTAAAGATCATACCCCGGCATGCACTGCGGTTTGCCACCAGCACCCCCTGGTGGGGAAGATGATTGGCTTTTTTGGTAGCGATCCCCTTTATGCCTCAGCGATTCAATGGGCGGTCTGTTGCCAGTCGGTGTGACATTGCAAAACGCCACAGCAAGCTCACTGGGCAAGAAACAGCAGAACAACAAGCAACCGCACCCCAACCAGATCCGTGAGCTTGCTCTTGCGACTGCAAAAGATAGGAGCAAATCGGAGAAGAAAGACCTTCGTGAAAATCCAAATTGCAGAGGGATGAAGATAGGAAAAGGATGGAGAAGCATCTTGCGAACCAGTTGCAAGACGGAATCAAGGTTCTGGAAGGATACGTCCAGGAAAAGAAAACGATTGCAGAAAGGATCAAAAGGATCGACAAGCAGTACTCCGAGACGGAGGCCGAGCTGGTGGACTTGGAGCAGGCCGACAAGGATTCGGTCGAAAGGAAGTTTGGAGTTGGTTTGCAGAGAGTTTGGAAGAACAGGCCAGTCCTGAACCAGAAGGTTGGCTGGCAGGCCGAAGAAGCGGTCAAAGGGTCGTCGACAGCAAACACGATTGCTGCGAGAATTGGGCTTGAAAGGCTGAAAGCCGAAACCAGTGATAGGGCTGTATGCCTGACAGAGGGGTTGAAACTTCGAAAAGGTTGAAACACCTTGGGCGGCAAGCCAGAAGAATTCCGAGGGCTCACTGCCAGAGTAGTTTTAAGTTTGTTCTCGATTAAAAAGTCATGAGAAACAATGTTGCGCAAACTCACAAATGTCAAAATCTGCGTGTGAAGGAAATGAAAGCCATGACGACAGGCTGAGAAACACCTGTGAGAAAGGTGAGCCGAAAAGTCAGTGTCTTCAGGAGAAAGAAGATCACGCTTGCAATTTGCAACTAAGACGTGATGAGAAAAGGAAGCTACAGCAATTGCTGTGGAAAGGAAAAGAATATCAAGGTGCTGTTGAGCACAAAACTCCTGCAAGGAGCACGAAAGATCAGCACAAGCACGAATGGAAAATGCAACAAAGTCCGAGTGCCGACAAAGGCAAGGACGACCTTCGGAGAGGGGGCAGCAAATTATGCATTTTCAATATAGGGTAGCCCAATGCCCGGCTGTGTCACTGCGTTGCTGAAGGCTCAAATACTGGTTCAAGCGCTGGAGGAAAACAATCTGAGAGCGCAGTGTGAGTTAGGGTCGAAAGGTTTAGGTTTGCTGTGTTTTTTTGACAAACTTGGTCGGCTTCCAGCCATGGGATGTGTTTTTTAAAAACTGATGTCGGGTCATTTCAATCTTGTGGATGTCCTAACGCTTACGGACTTTCAAGTGGGTTATTGCATTGAGGTTCTACAAAAAACATGAACCATTTGTTGAATTTAAACATGTTTGCGTTAGAGCAAATGGTTATATAAACAACATTTGATGGTAAACGGTCCGATTGCAGAATTTGCACAAGTTCAGCCCCACATGATGTTGCAGTATGTTCATTGCAATGCATCAACCTCACAGGTCTTCAGTAATTACCGTTGTTGTTGAGCATTGTGATGCATGGTTACATTTACCCAGCCGTAGTTGCTTTCCACTGCCATGGTGTGACAATACGGCGTGTTTTTTATTCCGGACGTCGCCTGTGTGAAGCACCCCAATATGGAGCGTCGAAGGTGTCGGACTCACCAAGCAAGCTTCCAGCTGGGGTTGTGTGGTAGCACATGCTTGTCGAATCATCGTTGCTTTCCGCGGCTTTGAGTTCATACAGAAGGAATATGCAAAGAAGTCAGGTATGCGAGGATTCAACAACATGACATCGCATTTCCATGAGTGGTTTCATTGCACAACTTCACGTTCATGGGGTGAACATGAGCCTGGGTCGTGCTCGCGAATTGCGCACGGCTTGGCCTGTTTGGTATGGATGTCCGCTACAACGTCGCTGGAATAAGATCCTGACGAAACAGACTCATCACCGTCCGGAGAAGCAGCAAAAGAGATCTGAATTTGTAAAGCCAGAAGTGCTGCATGCACACAACATTCCACATTATGACCTTCGCAGCTTGGCTTTCCACGTAATGCATTTCTTGGCACATCATTTCGTAGCATTCAGCTGGTCCATTTGTTTGGGTACTTGACACTTGCCTACATTCAGGTGACCTTCCACAAGAGTTTGACTCCTTGCGCCGCGACAAGCACAGCCAGGCCGACAACTGTTGCCAGCAGAGCTAGGCAAAGCACAGGGCGCTTGATGAGACACCAGTATTGCGACCACGCATGGTTTCTGGCAAAGGTTCAGAAATGGATTGCTGCGATAACCCATGCCATCGGCGACAAATGTGTCATTCACCCCAACAAGCTGCTCGTAACGACGGCTTGTTGCTAGGCTGGTGAAGGCTATCTCTTGTTGCTTCGGCCATGTGCGATCCAAGGTTGCAAGACAAAGATCACTTTCAAATCAAACACCGTGGAATGGTCTACTTTCTGTACGCCCCGTCCAATCACAAGCAGGACCGAAGATTTTGAACTGGTTTCTGCATCTGTGTTCTCCTCTGGTCCAGATCGTCCAGCAAAGCTCGGTCCAGCAAAGCCACGAGAACCCGCCTACATCATGTCGTGACCATCTTGACATGAGGATGGGCATGAGCTCACTCCCCAGCAAAAGTGCCCGGGCGATTGTTTCAGAGTTGCTGAGAACCGGATTGGGCACAGACGACAGCGAGCGCGAAGGCATTTGAAAAGCTAAGGAAAGCTTTGCTTAATGCCCTTGCGCACATGGGTGTCTTCGGCCACAAAGATGTGAAGCCGGACCCGGATGATGAATGACTCGGCTTTAACTTTTGCATCTTCCAGTGATTTGGCACACGGCCACTTTGCTCCGAAGCAAACCATGGGCTTCAGCAACATGTACATACTGCAACAGCAAATGAATTGGCGCAGAGTGCTTTCAATGCGCTGCAAAGGCTGTTCTTTGTTTCTCTGACCACGGGTGCAGAGGCAAAAAAAGGGAGTCTTTTCAGTTCGGGCTTTTGTTTTGGAGTGACCCGGAATGTCCCGCGTTTTGTTTCTTTGATGTGCGGAGGCCGTTCCCAGGGTCAAAATAATTACCCAAAGTGACTCAGTTGACCAAAGGCGGCTCGAGATATGTAAAAGTTATGCGCAGGGTTTGAGTACCAACCTGGAGGTGCAGCACAGGCCAAGATCTGGTGATGCAGAGGCTGTCCTCTACCTCTTGTCATCATCATCTCCGCCGGCATTGAGGTAAGCCTCTCATCTGATCTATGTTTCGTGCACGTGCGGACGGATTCCAACATCGATTGCTGATGGCAGCGTATTGTGGAAGCAGGACAGCTGCCCAACAGAGATTGCCAGATAGGGTTCTGTAGTTCCGCAATGTCCACGGCGAGGCATCGCTGCCAACTGCCATGCAGTCAAATGCATCGCCTCTGCCCAAGAAGCTTTAGTCCATGCTTGTTACATCTCCGTGCAAAGGTTTGGAGGTGTGTGGGGTGTTCTTGAGTGGCTTAGTCTGCACACAGGAATCGAATACACCCCCTCAGCACTGGTGCTGCTTCAGACTTGTCCTTGAAAGAGCTCATGACGTTCCGTTGAAGATCGCGCGCTTGCGAAGTTCTTGCCTTGACAACGTCTTCTGTGCCTTTCCGAAGAGTCCTGAGGTCGTGAAAAAGAAGCGATCGAGAAGCCTTGACGGCCCAGGAAGAATTCACCTGAGATAATTGCGAAATGGACACAACATGCATGTCGCATTTTTTCGATCAGACCAGCCACCATGCAGCTCTAGGTGGCCTGTTGCAACACCGGAGATCCGCCAGGAAAAGGAGTACTTGCAGTTGTAAGTTAAATTGCAATGCTCAAGATTCGACGAAGCAGCTTTGTGTTGAGACACATATCGCAAGTGGAACATGATGTAGATCTTGTTGTTCTGCTTGCTTGCTAGAATGCAGGAGGGGAGCTGCTGCAGTGATGAGATCGTGCATCGGCACATCAGCCGCCGCTGCAAAGAGGACTCTGTGTGTTGTCACCTTTGCTTCCCTTTGCTTCTTTTTGCTTCTTTGGAACCCAATCGCGGTATGCATGACTCAGATTGAGTCAAGGCACCACAGTCAACATGATAAGACCCTTTCCGAGTAGGCAAGCTAAGCATATTTATTCGGCATCGTCCACACAACTCACTGCTTGTCATCGAAGGCTTGAGACTTCTGCATCCAAGTCTATGTGTCTGTATGTGCAAATCACAAATAACGTGCGAGGGATGCCGTGAAAGGTTGCCCGCCATGTCGATACTCCATCCTGACTTTGGAACGCAGGCAGTGCTTGCATGCACGAGTCAAGCTGCACATGCTCGTGCAGTTCGTCGGCATCTTGTGCGTCACAGCGAAAAGAGACGGCTATGCGAATGGGCAGCTGGCGCTACAGCTGGGGTACTCGTCGTTCGACTTGCTGGTGGAGCACGCAGACAGTCCACCAGAAGGGCAGCCACAAACAAGTCGCGGGATGTTTCTGTCGCCCATGTGCCGAACTCTCATCTTGTCCACGGCACCTGGTACGACCATGTTGGCATGCTAGAGCCAGAGAGAACGCATAGCATGCCACCATCTCAACCAGCAGTTCATTTATTGCAGGCCCATCGAGACTCATTCAAGTACTTTTTGCAGCATTCGTTTGGCTTCGAGCTGAAGAAAATGGCTCCGAAGGTTAAGTTGACAGAAGATAGCATTGTCCTCATATCACAGCCTGAGGCTGAAGTCAGAGGGATCAAGCACTCAGCCAGTTCAAGATCTGCGGTGGGTGAACTTTCGGGCACTGAGCTTTCCAAGGTGCTGCCTGCAACCTTTCACAATCAGCGTTTTTCTGGGGAGCTCTTGACAGACAGAATCTACTACGTGCAAGGTACCGAATCTGCCGATGTAGCTGAGATGAAAGGAGACACCTACTTTGCAACAGCCTTTGTCCCCATGATCGTCACCGATTGCGAAACGGGTCTGGCTATCACTGTGCAGGTGAAGATCGGCAGATTTCCCATGCTGACTGAGTTTGTAAACCTGATAATCGGCGGCAATCCTTACATCATTGCTCACCGGCTTGAGCGAAGCTCCGGGGCATACTTCTCTGTTCAGGCTGTGGATGAAGCACCCATGCACGTTGTAGAGCTTGTCACGGAGGAGTACTCGCGAATCCGCTGCAGATGTTTCAAAGCCAAGGATATCGATCAGTTGTCTCTTGAAATCCTCATGCCTAAAAGCCGCATTCCTTTGCCTGCATGTCTTGTGCTTCTGGCATTAGGTCTGAAGCCGGAGCAAATCAAACGAGCCCGGAATGCGGGTAGAATCTGGACAGAGGAATATAACGAGCTGGAATGTGACCCAGATCGTGATGCTTGCACTCTGGCTGCCGCAAAGCTATGTTCCATTCTAGACATCGACGCAGACATGCGCTTTGGTGGTGATTCGCTGGCTGCCTTTAATTTCAAGAGTAGCTGGTCGTTTTCAAGCAGAGTTGGCCCACTTGGGAGACGCCGTCTGAACGAACGACTGGGTTTGGAGCTGTCAGACGATCATTTGACCCCAAAGGACTTCCTAGCAACAACTGACCTTTTGGTGGACTCATTCTTGGGAAGAGTTTCCTTGCAAGTTGATGACATCGATTCGTTGGTCAACAAGAGACTGCGCTCAGTTGGTCAAAAGATGCAGGGACTTGTTCGCGACTGGCTTGGGCAGGTTCAACAAAAAGCTGAATGTTTGCCCATCAAGGTGGATGTTGTGCAGGGCACAGGAGTTGTGTCCGTTGGAAGGTACCAAGTGCGTGAGTTGGACAAGTTCTGTGTCGCACAACTTTGGAAGGAGAACAACCGGCAGTTGTTCGAAGCTGTCAATCCCCTTGCGGAGCTTACGCAGGCTCGTCGAGTCACTCAGGTAAGCGAGCTTGGACTCGACAAGATCAAGCGTATACAAGGCATTCGCCTTATTCACCCAAGCCACTACGGGCGAATCTGCCCGATTGAAACTGGCGAAGGCATGAGTGCAGGGATTGTGATGTCAATGTCCTCAAACACACGCGCTACAAGTGACGGAGAGTTGGAAGCACCCCACCAATTGGTGTCAAACGGAGTGTTGCACTTGAGCCAGCCTTGGGAGTATCTCCTAGCACGGAGCCAATTCGGCTGTCGGGTGGCTCAGTTCGACATCGCCCACGCCGCAGATGGCACGTTGCTTGCACCAGCGAGGCCCGAGAGGGGAGGCCAACCGGTAGACCAGGCCCCCCCTGAGATGTGGAAGAGACCCGAGAGCGTGACGATGACGCACCTCGGTAAGTTCGGGTCATGCTCTCCTCTTCAGGTTGAATATGTCGCATGCGGAACTCCCATTTCCGTGGCTGTCGGCTTGATACCGTTTGTCGAGCACGACGACGCGAACCGTGCACTAATGGGGGCGAAGCATCAACAGCAGGCGGTGCCCCTTATGTGGCCTGAGCGCCCGGTAGTGGGTAGTGGAATGGAGGCGCAGGTCGCCACATACAGTGGACGAACTCACTTTTCCGGTGTTGACGGTCACGTTCTATATTCCGATGCGGCCAAGGTGATCACCATCTCTTGCAAGAGCATTTCTCGGGTCAGCGAGCAGATGCGCACTTTGCGAGAACGCCTTTGTGATTTGTACCTTACAAGTGAGCAGTTAAGTGAATGCACGCAGTTCGAGAACTTCTTGGAGCTTTGCAGGCGGCTGCCTTATGAACAGCTGCAGCAGCTGTATACTGACATGAGTGCAGTGTGGCCAGAGAAGAAAAGCCAGAAGCAGCGACTAGACAACTGGCTTCTCAGAGTTGGGATTAAGGCTTCATTGCAATCCCTGTCACTCCCGCAATCTCCGGAAGAGTGTTCTTTGCCGCCGGGATGGATCGAAACAGAGCTCTGTATTCACACTCAGATGGTACACCACGTTACGACAGATTGTGCTCCGACCAAGAAGCACACTTTGGTTCATGACACGGTCACAGTTCGACCAAATGACGCAGTTTGCTCAGGCGATATCGTCTCGGAGGGAGCAGGTATTTCTGGTGGAGAACTGGCGCTTGGCAAGAACCTCGTCGTGGCATACATGCCGTACAATGGTTACAACTACGAGGATGCTATCGTCATTTCTGACAGATGTGTTCGTGAAGATATCTTGACCTCTGTTCACATAGAAGAGCTGTCTCTGGAGCTAGAAGAAGGTTACGTGCTTGCTGCGTCAGAAGACCCTAGAGACGAGGGCTGCAGCACCTACATGCCCAACGGCCTGGCGGTGGAGGGCACCTGGCTGCGGAGCGGGGACCCGGCCATCATGGCCATCAGCACACAATGCGAAGATGAAGAACTCAGTACACCAGGCGACGAAACATTCAGAAGGCCCAAGCCCAAGGTCATAAGAGCTCCACCGGATGTCGAGGGCAGGGTAATTGACAGCAGCATCCGGATCACGGAGAAGCTGGAGTTTGGTGAAACGAAGAAGGTGAAGGTGGCAACTGTGTTAATTGCCGTCCGCTGTCGCATACAGGTCGGAGACAAGCTTTCTGGCCGACACGGGAACAAGGGTATTGTGGCGAGAATTGTCCCGATTCAAGATATGCCATATTTGCCTGATGGCACTCCGATTGATGTTTGCTTAAACCCTTTGGGTGTGCCGTCGCGAATGAACGTCGGGCAGATTTTCGAGAACATTCTGGGGAGTGCTGGACGTTGGAATGGAGAGGAATACCGGGTTGGATCGTTTGATGAGATGTTTGCCGAGGAGGCATCTCGAGGTTTCGAGCCCGGAGTGACATGCAAGCGTACCAAGAATGCATAGGTTCCGAGCGTCCCACGTGCTTCACTTTTGCTTACTACATGCAACAGTATGCAGCTGGATAGATCGTTCAACAAAAGAAGCGGCTTCATGGCTTTCTTGCCTAGGCTTGGTCTTCGAAGCCATGCGACGGGCGCAAGTCGGCACGGGCAACAAGTGGCTGTTGGATGCGGCATGTCCAGGAAAGACTCGTGTCTATTGCCTGCAAGTATTGTGGGAAGTGGGTTTGTTCCACTTTCGATGATTCATTTCAAGTTATCTGCTGTGATTTGTGTGGGCAGGGTGCATGAAAGCGTATGGCGCAACATGTTAGGTGTGCAAGCCTTTGCATCACTTTACATCCGGTTCGTCGCAGGAACTTCGCGAGAAAGTGCCAGTAGATTACAATATTATGTGTTAGCACATCGGCAAGGCTGCAGGTCAGTGGTAGCCGCGTCAGGGAATGTGAGGCAGTGAGCTCGAACAACGTGGTCTTTGAAACCAAGTGCGGGTGTTTTAGAAGCTCGCAATTCCAGTTGCTTCTGAGTTCTGACTTGCATGGAGAGCTGGTTGCAACAGGGATCTAGAAGAGATATTCCAGATGCGGAGACTCGGAGTCCAGTTTTTGCCAGGGGACTAGAGAGGGCATCCGTGCGCTCAGGAGTACACATGAGTACACTGAAAGCATTCCTGGGAGGATGATTTTCTGACTTGCTTGGCTCTGCTTGGCTCTTTGCCTCGCAAGGTATATGATGGCATGACTGGCAGGCCCTTGGACACACCTGTGACTGCTGGAATCTCGCTACTCGGCATTCTGCATTGCAGAATGTGTAGGACTACACTCCCGCAGTAGCAGAACTCTAACCCGAGGTACATCATCAAGCTTTGTCATATGGTCCGTGAGCCTTTGCGGCAGTAGCGAGCCTTTTCCGTGGTGATTTGTCAGTGTCACTGCCTGACCTTGCTTTGGAACTTGAGGACAAGTTGCACGCGCGTCCTGCTACCACCCGGAGTCTGCAGCAGGGAGATCAATACGGGAGGGGGTATCACGCCGCTTTGCTGGCGAGTGGTCGTGTGCTGCGTTTTGGCCTTGTTTGCTTGGGGGCAAGCATCTTGCCTCAGCTGCATCTGATAAGGCCATTACGCAGCAACCTATCAAGGGACGCATCCTAGTGGCATTCAGACAGCAGGGTCGAAGCAACAGGCAGCACCTTGGCTAGGCTCCGGTGTTCTTGCGGCGTTGATTCTCTGATCTCTCTGCGTGCGTCGAGGCAGTAGAGGTGGTGGCTTGCGTTTGGGGGAGATGGAAGTCTCCGCGCTTATTGGACACGGAGCAGGAGCAACTCTGCAGGACCCTCCCGCTGGCAGTGAGAGTACTATGAGCTTTGAAATCAAGCTTTTTAGAATAGACTTGTCCGTGTGCTCTGCATTTCTTGCTTGCAGAAATTGTGCGACCGGTTCCTTCAGTGGAGGAGCTAATGACTGTGAAGTCCGATGACGTGCAGGGCCGGGCAGAGGTCTTCAAGAGCCTCTTCGAAGGCCAGATATGAAGCATCAAGCAATTTCGAAAGGCTTGGTCATAAAACATCTTTCCAACATTTTGCAACAGGAAGCCGAGTCTTCGCTTGTTGCTTGTTTCATTCCATTTCGTCAGGGTGCGACGTTGCACTTCCGGCGGGTGCCACTTCAGAAGGGCCGCTCGGTGGCAAGCTTTTCCCTATGGTAGCATAGTGCTCAGAAGCCTCGGAGGAGGTGCTCTCATGCGTGGTTTGAGGAACCTTCTTTGAAGCTGCAGGTACTTGGCATTCAGACGAGAGTTAGCAGCCAGTGGCTTGGTTCTCTCAGAGGGTGCGTGGTCGGACGATGAGCTGTTGTAAGTGCAGAGCGCTTTCAATACTGGATGTTAACACCAGTGCCCGCCTGGTCCAGTCAGCGCGACTGCACCAGTGCTGGAATCCAAAAAGGCAGTTCGTGCTGAGTGAGTGTTTCATGTCAGTGCAGAAGAGGCACTTCTGTTCGGAATCCCCAGTCCCACAAGCGCTGCCCGTCACATGTACCACAGATTCGCCTATTTTCGTGCAGGAAGCCGACCTTTTGCCTGATGCAGGCATCTGGACGTGTGGAGCCCACGGGGCAAGTAGAGCACTGTGTTGACTGTGTTGTATGTTCGCGAAGCGAGGTGCCTCCCATCCACCGTGGCAAACGTTTCCCTGTTAGTTGGGAGGCAGGGTGAGTTATTCTCCAAAAGGCGTACATGTCACCCACGTTCCGTGAGGGTTTTGTGTCAAAGCATCCGCTAGTGTCTGACTGTGGCGCGTCAGGTTGTTGCTTAGTTTTGCCGTCAACGGACCTGCCCTCGACGACGTGTATCCACGCCTTGTTGAGCATCTTCTGGATTATGAGTGATGACTGGTGTGATACCGGTTGCATGCACAAGCTGACGACTTGAGTGACGCTGCCTCCAGCTGCAGTCGGCCAGGCTACTACTTTCGGCATCTCCCGGCCTCCGGTGACATAGCTGAAAGCAACACGTCACTGTCTTGGCAAAGATGGTAGAACCACTGCAAGGGCAGTTGTACTTGTCTCAACTTGAAAATCCCTCCTGGGGTCAAGTCGATTGCGGCATGGAAAGGAACAGCAACAAAAAGTGTTGTGTGTTGTGGAAGCAGACCCCGAAGACATGGGCATGAATTCACATTCGAACGTTACGTTCAACGCTCGAGAGAGCTTGCGCAACCTGTTTGTTGCTTGGTGTCCAGACGGCACAGGTGCGATCAGTTCTCATTATGACATGACATGAAGGTTAAATGGCGTTACGTTGTTGTTAGGTTGCAAGCTTCGATTCAAGGACCTGCAGACACCTGCCTTTTGTGTGTTGCTTAGCGAAGGGTCCAGGCATCAAGGAACTCAGCAGCACCCAGCCCACTGCATACTAAATTCAAGAGTCTCGGGACTTGGGACTGGTAGTGCAGACGCGATCAGACGTGAGTTGCCATGGCGTCCAAGCCTCAGCTGCCAGCCGTGCTGACACAAAGCTTGGTGGCGGGTGGGTACTAGAAGGCCTCGAGAGCTGGTGAAGGCATCCCGTGGCCGAGGTGTGCGCCTCTACCTCGTGAGATCATAAAATGGCTTCAAGGTCTGGATCTCTCGTTCAGCAGCATCCTCGGCTCTGGACCGCAGTCTGGAAATGTCTGGAATTTCTCCGGTGTTCCTGCAACCAGCGTTCACGCCAGGCATCAAGAACCCAAAACGGGATCTGAGCAATGGCGGCTCTTCGCAGCTTCATGCACTTGCCTGCAGCACTCACAGTGTACAGTGCCTTCTTCATCAACCCTAAGTATACAGCCAGGTTACATTGTGGCAGAGATCTTGTCCAGATATCATCCTCAGGACTTTGCGGCGTAGAGCAGAAACTTGCCTTGGCTGAATGCGTTGGCTGTTTGTTTCCGTCCTTCTTCAGCCTCTTTCGCTCTCCTCTACCTGTTGGGATCAAGCACTCAAGCATAATTATTACTGTGTGGCCCTTAGCAGGATGTGGACATGAACACGTACGAAAATGGCTCCAGGTTGGAAGCAAAGGCCTTGTAGTACTTTCCTAGTGAAACTGCGTCCGTTCTACTTGCCATGTCTTCAGCAGGTTGACAACTGGGAGCAGTTGTACAAGCTTTTCAAGAGGAAGGGCATAGGCTCAGCGTTACCTTTGGACATGGAAAGCTTCTCACCTGCTATGCTGCCAGTTTCTTATCTGAACATTGGCACTGTTTAATTTGAGAGGCATCTCCAAAGCAGAGTTGCTGCCTCAGCGATTTTGCAAGTGTCTCTTCGACACCAAGTCAGCCGCCGGTGTTCAAGGTTTGATCCAGTCATACACTGTGCGCCGGGTGACCTCGCATGTTTCAGCTTCTTCTCACTGAAGAGGAGAATTTGCTGGTATTTCGGTCGCAAGTGTTTAGCTGGTATGCTTAGAATGCCATTCTTGTCGGGAAGGCTTCATCACAGGAAGTAGGTCGAGCTGATGACAGGTGCGGCAGTAATGCTCATGCACAAGATTTACACGTTCCTTACCAGATGCGTAGCTCGAGTCTCAGCCGTTGCTTGTTTGATAACAGAGCTGGGTTGGGCCTGTGTGATGCAAAACAATCATGCACCCCAACATGTCATCTTTTGGCTGGCAGCTCTGTGCCATTCGTGCTCCAGGGTTTGTCAAAAACATCACTGCCCTCAATACCCTCTGCCATCACAGCATGCAATTTTGCCACGAAAGGTACTTCTTAAAAAACGCTGGTTTCAAACAGTTCCGTGGATTGGCTGCGTTGGCATACTTGTGCAGAGTGAGCAATGAGAGCTCTATTGCTCTCTCCTGAGCGACATTTGCAAGGAGCCTGGTTGCTCAACCTGAAATCAGAGATTGAGAGGCACCCGTCTATTCGAGTCGCGGTGGACATTGTGGCAATTGAGCATTGGGGGCAGACTCACTTCGACATGTTGGAGCAGTCGCAGTGGAACGTGGCAGTGAACCGAGTGTCTGATGCCTCCGAGCCTGCTGTTGCCAAGATGGCCATGGTTATCATGAGGCAGCTTGAGCTCCATAGGGTTCCGGTTATCAACCCCTGCTCGGCATATTCATTGCTGATGAGTAAGTCCGGGCACCATGCAGTGCTGGGCCTTGCTGGTGTGGCAACGCCAGACTCAGCTTTTGTCAATGGCTTGGGCCTGAAAGATCAAAAGGATGAATCAGACTCAACGACCTCAACAGCCCTCTCAAAGCTTTCGCAGAGTTGCAGCGGCCTTCAGGAAAAGTTCCCCTTGCTCTACAAGCCATGTGCTGCAGCTTATGCCAAAGGCGTTGTGACGATTCAAAATGCAGACGACTTGGAAGCCTTCGCTAAGCAGGTCCAGTCCTCTGTCAAATCTCCTTCCGAGTATGAGGTGAGTCCTCTGGGAAATGACTTTACAGGATATCTGCAAAAGTTCTGTGCCCCGGACAAGGGACAGTATTTCCGGGTTTTTGTTCTTGATGGTGCCATTCAATGCGCGATTAAAGTTGTTCCTCGGGAGTCTGATCTAGGAACTGGTTCGGCTACCTCGACATGTGCCTGCTCGGCAAATAAGACGGCATCATCCCCACTCCGGTTTCTGGCGTACTCGCCTACAAACGAGGAGGCCGACGAGGCAGTCCGAATTCTCGCCAAAGTAGCTGGTGCCGACTGCGGATCAGTGGAGTTTCTCTACTTAGATGGTCAACGCCTCTACTTTGATGTCAATCTGCTATCACACTTGCCAGTTCGCGCTGGAGCTTCCGACGGGTCTCTTTTCCCAGGATTCGAAGATGCGGACGGCATTTGGTCAGATCGCAACTTCTATGCCGAGCTTGCATCGGTATGCTTGAACAAAGTTGGATCATCTTGAGAGAGACAAAAGCCTGCTTTGTCCTTGCAGTCAAGTACTTGAAGTGGTTTTGGGGGTGCAGCCATGCAGACTGGGTGCAGCGACTGTAGGTCCAAGCGCACGCGCCAATCCAGGTCCGGGCCAGCAGATATGTGCAGCACATTCCACCGTGAATTTTACAGTTTGGCACTCGGAAGGAGCTGGTTAACTTCCAGCATGAGCTGCCGTCGTTCATGCGGGACAGGGTTCGGCTGAGGTCCCGCTGTGTGCGCATCGTGTCGCAGCAAGTCTGTTCCGTGTAGGACACAGCCTCCAAGCGTCTGAAAGATCCGGAAATAGCCCGGATTCAAGACAACGTCAAGCACTCAGCTGTCCTTGTGCCATGATTTTTCCCAAACTAGCCAGCTGCAAAGGTGGAAAGGACCATCGTTGCCATTGACACGCTGGGCGTTTTCCACCAGGCCTAAGATACAGATGCTGCAGCCTAGTGGAGTTGGTAAAGCTCGGAGCATTGGGCGCCGGTGGAACAAGGAGCGTCGCGCGATCAAAGCTACGGAGGCCCTCAATATCCTCGATGCTTGCTGATAGTTCGCCGCTCTCTCCTTTCCACTTGCCGAGGCTCCTGCTTTGATCAGGCAAGAACGAAGATTGAGGATGGGCTTGTCACAGGAGAGCTTTGTGGGATGCCGGAGGCTTTGCAAGCCAATCAAGCCATCGCCAAGTCTCGCCGGTCTCGCCTTTGCTCAGAAGATGCTGGCCAAAGATGCTGGCCTGAAAAAAGCATTCACAGGCTGAATGCAGCATGCAGCATGTAGGTTCATCTTCGAAATACGCACGATTGACGAGGAATTAAGTCCGGCTACGAGGTATATAACAAGCATGCATGGCCATGGAGCGTCGCCATGCGAAGACGCTCCTTGTTTCTGCGCTTGCCGCCTGCTGCGGGCTTTTGGACTCAGAGTGAGTGGCTTTGAGGCCCTTGCATGTGGCAGGATGGCATGACTCACATCCCTTTTAGGTTCGAGCTGCGCATGGCTTACATGACCAACATTGTAGGCTGGACAGGGCTCGTAGGTGCTTCTTCATGGATCGCAGGCAGATCACACAACCTCTGGCTGGGTGGCAGGATTGCAGCAGGCTCGCTGTGTGCCGTGTATGGCACAAAGATCCAGTGCCTTTACCTATTGATTGCTCCGTGCTTCGTGCTTCTTGCATCTGCTTTGCACCAACTTCGCTTGAGCTTCAGGCGCAAGCAAGGGCTTCGCCACCAGTGCCAGAACGCTCTTGCGGGCAGCCACATTGCCCGGGACGGATGACTTGCCTGGGTACTGCAGTATAAGTTTAGTGTTGATTTGGGGATCCAAGCAGCATTTGCTGCTTTTGCAGAAGGAGCGAGCGAGCAGTCGGTGAAGCTGAGCAAAAGCTGAAGGCTCAACCGCTGCAACAAGTGCTGTTTTGCTCTGCAAGTTCTTGCTCCAGCTTTGGACTCATGCCCGAATACAGCCATCTTGTCGAGGCTTATTACATCAACACGGACTTGGATGATTTTCGCAGGAGTGGTCTTGAACTTACATGCCAGCACTTGGAGCTGGCTCCTCACCTGATCATCGGGAGGGAGCAGGTGCTAACGGTATTGAGGAAGAGTCGTCAAGGAGCAGGTCGTCCTTGGATCGATTTCCAAAAGAGTAGGAGAAAAGAGTACCAAGTTCTCGAGAGAGTGTGAGACCTTCACGCGCGTTGGATACCAAGCAGCCCTGTCGATGTAACCAAGGATTGTGAGCGGGTGGTACCTCCAAAGCTGAGCAGTGAAGAAGTTCTTGACTGCGTGGACACCACAGCATTGCGATCGTTTGAGATGCTCGGATGAGAATGTTGTGGGAGCGGGCTGCCGTGCAAGCGAGGGCCGTTCCTGTTTCAAGATCAGCTGCTGCAGGACGGACCCAGAAGGCTGCATGTACTCCTCATGCAAGTGGCCAAGGTGCTCTTTGGTGTATGCGCACCGCAGCATCCTCAAAAGAATTAGCGCGGGAGATGTGGCGGCACTTGTTCTGGAAGCAGCTCGGCCTGACAATGGCAGCCTTAATGAGTCGGAGGATGCAGCGATGTTAGACAGATGATCAGTTGTGTTCAACCCAGGACGATGCCAGGCTAAACGGAGACATCGCTGCAGAGTCAGCGAAGGATGCTTGCTTTATTATCGCCAAGTCAGAGACTACCCTGTCTTCCGAGAGTCGGTTGAGGAGATTCTTCAAGCAGCAAGACAGCGAGATTTTGTGATGGCCGGATGGTCGTTTGGCTAAGGATCATTTTCCCAGTATACTTGCCATCATGTGCTGTGTGTCCTGGTTTACTCTATTCAGCTCACTGAAGGTGCAATCCATCATGCGCACATGCCTACCTTGTGTGCCTCGATTGCATTGGGCTTTTCACGCCCATCTGCTACACAGCAGAATTGCTGTCGAGGTCTCCTGGTGGAGCTATGATGCTTCTTGAACAAGGCTTTGCACGTGACAGCCTCAGGTCGCAGCACTCGGAAGCATGTTTTAGTCGCATGGCGTTTGATGGGCCTGAAACAGATCCCGAGCTGCCAGCGGACTCCATGTTTCCAGTCACTCGTTGGCAATCCGGCAATTGCGAAGAGACCAGCCGTTAAAGGCTCTTAAGAGACTCTTTTTCTTTCAGCAGCTAGGCCTTCCGAGATGAGGACTGCGGGCAGCATGCTGTTGCTAGTAGGGCGGGCTTGTGGCACTTGGGTCCGCATGCTGTGAGGAATTGTGAGGAGCTGTAACTTGCGATTCATTTACATCGCAAAGGCCACCTGTAACCTGTTTTATCTTCCTGAGGCCATCCTTCCCCTCACACCTCCCAACAGCGAACTGGGCGGTTTTTTTTTACGAACCTCACGCCGTGCCCCCCTCTCTCTTCAATCGCATCTTCAATCTTTGACAGGATGTTCTCTTCCCTTATGGATGTCCTGGCGGGTGGCTTTGCCTTTTTGAATGCTCACAAGCCATCTTGATCAGCGGTCCCGATGTGCTCGGCCTCCAGCCATTTCCAGGTACCCGGGAGATATTGGAATATTCTGCCAAGACCGCTCTACCCCACACTGCAAGTCATATTCGCGCTTGGGCTTACAAACTGCTGCACCTGTGTTGCAACATGCTGTGCTGCGTTGTCAACCTGCGAGCTCAAGGTATTACTAATTTGAGCATCGGACTGTGCAGTGCTGCTGGCAGAAGTGCAGGGCGAACAAAAGAGCACCCTTGTTTTTGTTCTTGATGGTTGGGTGCAGCGCGATTTTTTTTTCCAGGGGCGGTCTCCATACCCGCGGGATGTTGCTGGCATCGCTGCGTGTGCTGAAGCTTGTCACGAGGAGGATCAAAGTCACGACATAAACCAGACGGATTCTGTCGTAGTTGACGAAGTGAAGGTGAGGAATCCCTCTTGCTGCATGGTGTCACAGCAATGTGAAAGGCAGTCCCTCGTGCAGGTGAAGGCACTTCAAACAGGAAGTGCTCAGCTTCGAAAAACTGATGAAAAGCCATCCTGCCACATTTATGGCTATACGTTTTTTAGCAGTTGTGGTGCATCTGGTGGGCACGTTGAAAGGAACCAAGAGGCGCCACCGCCGGTTGCGACCTCGAGCCGGACCTCTCTGCTGAAGGCTCGTGTGCATGACCTTTGTTCCGGACTTTTCCGCCAAAGGAGAGTCTGAGCTGGTGGATTTGGCAATACGTCCAGGCAGTGAGCAGCCCTCAGACATGCTGTGCAGCGCTGGCCGGCCTGCAGTCCTCCCCTCGGATTTTGCGTCGCGAGTGGTCTCGTGTCCTTGTATCGCCCAGCTTGTGTGCCTCTGCAGGCAGAGCCAGGCCATTGCCAAGCCAGCCTGGCACATGGCAATGTGTGCGTGTGTGTGTGTGTGTGTGTGTGTGTGTGTGTGTGTGTGTGTGTGTGTGTGTGTGTGTGTGCGTGTGTGCGTGTGTGGGTGTGTGTGTGTGTGTGTGTGTGTGTGTGTGTGTGTGTGTGTGTGTGTGTGTGTGTGTGTGTGTGTGTGTGTGTGTGTGTGTGTGTGTGTGTGTGTGTGTGTGTGTGTGTGTGTGTGTGTGTGTGTGGTTGTGTGTGTGTGTGTGTGTGTGTGTGTGTGTGTGTGTGTGTGTGTGTGTGTGTGTGTGTGTGTGTGTGTGTGTGTGTGTGTGTGTGTGTGTGTGTGTGTTTTTGCGGGCGCGCGGGCGCGCGCGCGCGCGCGCACGCGTTCGCGCTCGCGTGTGTAGATACACCTGTGAAACACAAACTCCACCCCTTTTGGGGTTTAGGTCCTTTTTGGGTTTTAGATTTTTAGAGTCTTTTAGGGATTTTAGGGATTGCAGGGTTTAGGGATTTAGTGCTTAGTTGTTGTTTATTCTTTCTTTGTTTCAGGGTTTAGGGTTTTCAGTGTTGAGGGTGGGTTTAGCATTTAGGGTCTGGAGTGTTTAGGGTTTTCGGGGTTTGGGGTTTTCAAGGTATGGGGTAATTAGGGTTTTAGATGTTTTCGGCTTTGTCTTATGTTTTGATAGAGTGCCAGGTTTGAGTATTGAGGGCTTTTTTTAGTGTATAGTTTTTTTGTGTTTAGAGTTTAGAGTCTACAGGTTTGGGTTGTTTTAGGATTTCGAGGGTTTGGGGTTGTTGTGGTTGAGGGCTTTTAGGGTTTAGGGCAGTTCGTGTGCAGGGTCTTTAGTTGTTGTTTTTTAGTTGTTGGGGTTTTTGTTTTTTTGTGGTTTAGGGTTGTTCGTGTTCGGGTTTTTTAGGGTTTAGGGTTTAGTGATCAAGGTTTTTTTGGAGTTTTTAGTTTTCAGTGTTTTTAGGATTTTCGGTTTTAAGGTTTGGGTGTTTTTTTATTGGTCAGGGTTTAGGGTTTGGTTTGGTTTAGGGTTTCGTTTCGTTTGTTTTTTGAGCGGCTAGGATTTTAGGATTTGGGGGCTTCAGGGATCAGGATTTTCAGTGTTTAGGGTTTTTATTAGGGTGTGGGGCTTTAGGGTTTAGGGTTTTAAGGGTGTGTGGTCTTGGGGTTTGGTTTTGTTTAGGGTTTCGGTTTGTTGTGTTTTTGTGTTTCGGGATTTTAGTATTGCAGGCTTCAGGGTTTCTGGTGTTTCGGGCTTTCGGTGGTGTTTAAGGTCTAGGTTTGTTTTCGGGTTTGGGATTGTAGTGTTTGGGCTTTAGGGTCTGGGAATTTTAAGGTCCAGGGTTCTCTAGGGTCGGGTTTTGCAGGGCTCAGGGCTGTAGCGTATAGGGTCTTTAGAGGTGTTTGCTTTTAGTGTTTTTTTGGGTTAGTACTTTCGGGTTTCAGATTTTTGGTGTTTAGGCTTTCTAGTGTTTAGGATTCGGTGTTGAGAGGTTTAGGGTTTGGGGCCTTTAGGTGTTCGTTTTTTTTTAGCGATTGTTTCTTTGTTTTTGGGGGTTCGTTGTTTTCTAGTGTTTAGGGTTCTTAGAGGGTTCGGGGTCTTTAGTGTTAAGGGCTTTTAGGGTTCGAGTTTTTATGGCTTAGTGTTTAGGGTTTTGGGGAAAGTTTAGCATTTTCAGGGTCGTTTTTTTTGGTTTAGGGATGTTTGGTGTTTGAGATTTTTCCGGCTTTGGGGTGTTAGTGTTTAGGCATTTCAGAGGAAAGGGTTTTCAGTGTTTAGGGTTTCCAAATATTGAAGGTTTTAGGGTTTTCAGAGTTTAGAGATTTTCGGGTTTGGTTTGCCTTTTAGTCTTAGTGTTGAGGTTTTTTTGGGGTTTGTTCTTTGGGGTTTAGGTTGGTTGTTAGTGTTTAGGGTTATTAGGGTTTCGGGGGGTTTCAGTGTTTAGAGTTTAGTGTTTATAGGTTATCAGTTTTCTTTTGGGGTCTGGGGTTTTTGGGGTTGAAGATTTTTTCGGTTTTAGGGTTTTACTGTTCAGGGTCGTTAGGGTTGGTTTTTGTTGTTAGAGTTAGGCTTTAGGGTCTTTGCCGACCAGGGTTTTTCGGGTTTAGGATTTGTGGGGTTTAGGGTGGTGGGTCGTTTTTGCGGTTGAGTATTTTTGGGGTTTTAGTGTTTGCGTATTTTGTTTTAGTGTTTAGGGTTTTAGTGTTTAGGGTCTGGGGTCTGTTTTAGTTTTTGGGCTTTCAGGAGCATTTAGAGCTTGTAGGGTTTGTGGTTTTCAGGGTTTAGGGTGTGGGGCTCTGAAGGTTTAGGGGTTTAGTTTTTAGGTTTTTAGGTTTGTAGGTTTTTAGGGTTTAAGTTTTCAGGGTTTAGGGTTTTTGGGGTTTTTAGGGTTTTGAGGGTTTCGGGCTTTCGGGTTTAGAGTTTTTGGTGTTTTGTTTTTTTCGGGTTGTGTCCAGTGTTGAGGGTTGTTAGGGTTTGAGGTTGCCAGGGTTTTTTAGGTTTGGGCTTTTTGGGGTTGAAGGTTGTTTCGGGTTTAGGGTTTTTAGTGTTCAGGGTCGTTAAGATTTGTTTTTGTTGTGAGAGTTGGCGACCAGAGTTTTTAGGGTTTGCGTTTTTTAGTTGGGGCGTTTTGGGGATGAGCTTTTTTGAGTTTAGGTTTTTTGGCGTTCGCGTTGTTTAGTGTTTAGGGTCTTAGTGTTTGGGGTTGTTTAGGGTCTGGTGCACTTTTTTCGGTTTTGGGCTTTCAGGGTTTAGATCATGTAGAGCTTTTAGGGTTTGCGGGTTTCAGGCTTTAGGGTGTGGGGCTCTGAAGGTTTAGGGTTTTAGCGTTTAAGTTTTTAGGTTCAGGGTTTCAGGGGTTTAGGGTTTAGCGTTTTTGGGGTTTAGGTTTTTTAGGGTTTAGGGTTTTCAGGGTTTAGGGTTTTTGAGGGTTTTGGGTTTTTGGTGTTTAGGGTTTTCGGGTTGGGTTGTTTTAGGTTTTAGGGTTTAGGATTTTTCGTGTTGGGGGTTTGTAGGGTTTAGGGTTTTAGTGTTTTTTTTTTTTTTACTTGTTTGGGGTTCTTCGGGTTTCGGCTTTCAGGGTTTAGGGTTTTTAAGGTTTGGGGTTTTAGGGTTTAGGGCTTTTCGGGTTTCTATATAGTTTAGGGTTTTTTGGTTTTATCATTTTTGGGTTTGTTCCTTTTGTTCAGGGTTTGGGGTTTGCAGTGTTTAGGGTTGTCAGGGTTGGCTGGGTTCTCAAGGTTTAGGGTTTTCAGTGTTCAGGGTTTTCAGGGTTTGGGGTTTTATCACGGGTTTTGGGTCTTTTGTCTCGGGTTCAGGGTTGTTAGGGCTTGTTTTCAGGGTTTAGGGTTTTTAGTGTTGGGTATTTTGGCTTTGTGTTTGCTGTTTTGATTTGGCTTTAGGGTTTAATTTAGGGTTTTAGCATTCAGGGTTTATATTTTTGGGGTTTAGGGTGTTTACGGTATGGGGGTTTTGGGGTTTAGGCTTGTAAGGGTTTGAGGTTTTTAGGGTTTAGGGTTTTAGGGTATGTTTTTTTTTGGGGTTGAGGGTTTTGAGGGTTTAGGGTTTTTAGTGTTCAGGTTTTTTTGGGTTCGTCTTTGTGTGTGTGTGTGTGTGTCTTTTTTTTTTTTTTTATCAGGTGGGCTTTATGGGTTTTAGTGTCTATGGTCTGTTTTAGGGTTTGGTGTTTTTGGGGTTTGGGGTTTCGGGGTTGAGGGTTTTTAGGCTGTGGGGGTGTTTACTGTTGGGGTTTTAAGTGCTTTGGGGTTTAGTGTTTCGGGTGTTTAGGGGGACCCATTTTTTTTGGCCCTTTTATTTTTTTTTATTTTTGGCCCCCTTTTTTGGCCCTATTTCATCGTTTTCCTCGCTAAACCCTAATCCCTGGACCCAGCACTACACCCGACAGCGATTAACACCATCGCTTGGACTTACTATGCAAGCCTAAAGAGTTGTGTTGAGCGTGAGCTGCACCTCCAGTGCCGGTGCAGTACCCCGCCTGGGGTGCCCCGCCCCCCTTCTCCGATTCTCCCTGGCCCCCCTGACCTGGCCCCCCCTGGCCCCCCCTGACCCCCCCCCCTGGCCCCCCCTCCTGGCCCCCCCTGCCCCCCCTGACTCCCCCTCACCCCCCTGGCCAAAACCCTGGCCCCCCACCGGCAACCTCCTACCCAACCGATCAAAGGATGGGGGTGGGAAGTGGGAATTTAGGGCGTTAGCCCGAAACCCTAAAGGGAGAAAAGTTGGGTGGATGCCTGCGTAAGCAGGGGGTGGGAAAAATAAAACAACCCGACCTTTCTGGTTGTGGTGGCTCCAACTTCAATAGATGCCGCCGCGACATATGCCGCCCCTTCACACCCCCTGGGTGTGTTGGGGCGCCATCTCCGCATGACATCTACTGCCGCGGCGCGGCGAGACGCCTTAAACCCTCAACCCTCAACCCTAAACCCTAAACCCTAAACCCTAAACCCTGAACCCGAAACCCTAAACCCGAAACCCGAAACCCTAAACCCTAAACCCTAAACCCTAAGCCCTAAACCTTAAACCCTAAACCCTAAACCCTAAACCCTAAACCCTAAACCCTAAACCCTAAACCCTAAACCCTAAACCCTAAAAACCCTAAACCCTAAACCCTAAACCCTAACCCTAAAACCCTAAACCCTACCGCCCCCCCCCCCCCCCCAAAAAAAAAAAAAGAGGCCAAAAACAAAAAAATAAACTGGCCAAAAAAAAGTGCACCCTGTTTAGGGTCTGTTTTTTTTTTTAGGGTTTGGGCTTCAGGGTTTGTGTGTTTTTGGTTTGTTTGCTGTACTTGTTGGGTTTGGTGTTTTTAAGGGTTCAGTTTTGTTTTTCGTGTTTAGGGCTTCTGGGCTTTTGGGTTTTGTTGGGTTTATAGTGTTTGTTTATCTTTTATGGGTTTCGGGGTTTAAAGTTTCGTGTCTTTTTGGGTGTTTAAGTTTTAGGGTTGTTTTCGGGTTGGGGATTTGAGTGTTTGGGCTTTTAAGGTCTGGGAACTTTAGGGTTTAGGGTTCCCTAGTGTTGGGCATTTTAGGGTTTAGGGCCTTAGTGTATAGGGCCTTAGAGGTTTTAGCATTTAGTGTTTTTTGGATTAGGATTTTAGGATTTCAGGGTTTTCGTTTTTAGGGTTTCTAGGGTTTAGGATTTGGTGCTGAGAGGTGTAGGGTCCGGGGCCTTTTGGGTGTTCAGGTGTTTAGGGGTGGTTCCCTTTCTAGGGGTCAGTGTTTAGGATTTTTAGAGGGTTTTGGGTTTTTAGTGTTTAGGGTTTTAGGGTTCGGGGGTTTTAGGGTTTAGTGTTTAGGGTTTTTAGGGTTCACGGCTTTCAGGGTCTGATTTTTTGGTCTAGGGTTTTTGGTGTTTGAGATTTTTCGGCTTTAGGGTGCTAGTGTTTAGGCTTTTCAGAGATTAGGGTTTTCAGTGTTTAGGCTTTTTAGGTTTTAGGGTTTTCAGCGTTTTCAGATTTTTAGGGTTGGTTTTTCTTTCAGTTTCAGTATTGAGTCTTTTTAGGGTTTGTTTTTTGGGGTTTCGGTTGGTTGTTGGTGATTATGGTGTTTTGGGTTTCGGGGGAGTTCGGTTTTTTTTGGGTCCAGTGTTTAGGGGTGTTAGGGTTTGAGGTTATTAGGTTTTTTAGGTTTGGGCTGTTTGGGGTTGAGGGTTGTTTCGGGTTTAGGGTTTTAGTGTTCAGGGTCGTTAAGGTTTGTTTTTGTTGTTAGAGTTGGGCTTTAGGGTTTTTGGCAACCAGGGTTTTAGGGTTTGCGGTTTTTGGTTGGGGCGTTTTGGGGTTGAGTTTTTTTGAGTTTAGGGTTTTTAGTGTTTGCGATTTTTAGTGTTTAGGGTTTAAGTGTTTGGGGTGTTTAGGGTCTGGTGCCCTTTTTTCGGTTTTGGGCTTTCAGGGTTTAGAGCATGTAGAGCTTTTAGGGTTTGCGGGTTTCAGGCTTTAGGGTGTGGGGCTCTGAAGGTTTAGGGTTTTAGCGTTTAAGTTTTTAGGTTCGGGTTTTAGGGGTTTAGGGTTTAGCGTTTTTAGGGTTTAGGGTTTTTAGGGTTTAAGTTTTCAGGGTTTAGGGTTTTCAGGGTTTTGGGTTTTGGTGTTTAGGGTTTTCGGGTTGGGTTGTTGTAGGTTTTAGGGTTTAGGATTTTTCGTGTTGGGGGTTTGTAGGGTTTAGGGTTTTAGTGTTTAGTTTCTTATGGGTTTGGGGTTCTTCGGGTTTCGGCTTTCAGGGTTTAGGGGTTTTAGGGTTTGGGGTTTTAGGGTTTAGGGCTTTTCGGGTTTCTTTAGTTTAGGGTTTTTGCTTTCTTTTTTTAAGTTTGTTTTGTTTTTTCACGGTTTGGGGTTTGCAGTGTTTAGGGTTGTCAGGTTTGCGGCGTTCTCAGGGTTTAGGGTTTTCAGTGTTCAGGGTTTCAGGGTTTTCAGGGTTTGGGATTTTATCATTCAGCGTAGTTCGGGTTCTAGGTCTTTTCTCTCGGGTTCAGGGTTTTAGGCTTTGCGGATTTTAGGGTTTAGGGTTTTTAGTGTTGGGTATTTTGGGTTTGTGTTTGCTGATTTGATTTGGCTTTAGGGTTTAATTTAGGGTTTTAGCATTCGGGGTTTGTGTTTTTGGGGCTTAGGGTTTTAGGGCATGGGGGTTTCGGGGTTTAGGCTGTTGTTTAGTGTTTAGGGTTTTTAGGGGTTTGAGGTTTTAGGGTTTAGGGTTTTAGGGTATGGTTTGTTTGGGGTTGAGGGTTTTGAGGGTTTAGGGTTTTTAGTGTTCAGGGTTTTTTGGGTTCGTCTTTGTGTGTGTGTGTGTGTGTGTGTGTTTGTGTGTGTGGGGTGTGTGTGTGTGTGTGTGTGTCTTTTTTTCGTCAGTTGGGCTTTAGGGCTTTTAGTGTCTATGGGTTTTAAGGTTATTGATTTTTTAGGGTTTGGTGTTTTTAGGGTTCGGGGTTTCGGGGCTGAGGGTTTTTAGGCTGTGGGGGAGTTTACTGTTGGGGTTTTTTGTGCTTTGGGTTTTAGCGTTTCGGGTGTTTAGGGTATGTTTTTTTTTTTTTTTTTTGGGGTTTTTTTTTCCCTTCAGGTTTGGGTTTTCAAGGTGTGGTGTGTGTGTTTTTTTTTTTTTTCTTTTCCTCTCGGGTTTGTTGTTTTAAAGGTTCAGTGTTTTCTATTATTTAGGGTTCTTGCGTTTTTGTTTTTTTGGAGGGTGTGGGGTTTTGAAGGTTTTCGGGTTTTGGGGTTTGGGTTTTTTTTTAGGGTTTGTTTTTTTGGGTTTAGGGGGTTCTAGTGTTTAGGATTTAGGGTTCAGGGCTTTAAGGGTTTAGGGTTTTCAGGGTTTGGGGTTTTTAGTGTTGGGCTTCAGGGTTTGGGTTTTTAGGGTCTAGCGTTTTTAACATTTAGGGTTTTCAGGGTCCAGGGTTTTTAGGGCTTTTGGTTTGTAGTGTTTGGGTTCTTTGGTAGCGTTTAGGGTTTTAGTGTTTAGGGTTTTTAGGGTTCGAGGTTGTTAGGGTTTCGGCTTTCTGGGTTTGGTTCTTTGGGGTTTGGGGTGTCTTATTTTGGGTTTAGGGCTTTAGCGTTTAGGGTTTTAGGGTTTAGGGTTTTTAGGGTTTCGGCTTGCAGAATTTAGTTCGTTTTTGGGTTTGGGGTGTGTGTGTGTGTGTGTGTGTGTGTGTGTGTGTTTTTTTTTTCTTTTTGAGGTTTAGGGTTTTCGGTGTTTAAGGTTATCATTCGGGTTTATTTTTGTTTTTTTCAGGGTTTAGGGTTTTTCAGTGTTTAGGGTTTTCAAGTCAGCGTTTGGGGGTTTTGAAGTTTTAGGGTAATCAGGGTTTTAGGTGTTAGGGTTCAGGGTTTTTAGGGTTTAGGCTTTTTCGTGTTGGTTTTTTTTGTTTGTTTGGCTCTAGGGTTTTCAGTGCTTAGGTTTTCTTTCGGGTTTGGGTGTTTCTGAGTTTAGGGTTTTCCGGCTTTGGGGGTTTCAGGGTTTAGGGTTGTTTAGTGTTTAGGGTTTAGGGTTTGTAGTGTTTGGGGTTTGTGGGGTTTACGGTTTTAGTGTTTAGTTTTATTATATTTTTTAATGGGTTTGGGTTTTTGGGTTTGGGGGTTTCAGGGTTAGGGTTTTGAGTGTTTAGGGTTTTAGGGTTTGTTTTTTTTGGGTTTAGGGTTGCTAGGGTTGTGTGTGGGTTGCAAACAAGGAGCCACCCTCGTGCTTTTACGAGTGTGTATGTGTGTGTTTAGCCGCTCAGCCTCTTCCGGCTCGCCATGCCATAGTACACAAGGTGTGCCAGCAACAGCCTGCAAATCTGCCGAGGCTACCGAGATCATGCGGCCATTGGTTTTCTCCATCATTCAAGAATCCGAGGTGGTTGGGGTGCTGGATATGCTGCTGCATGAAAGCGTCGAACCTGTTTTGAGCCTTACCAGTACTGACGCTCGGCCAGGAGTTTTCGAAGATGATCGACACCAAGAAAGAGGAGAACGATGAACCGGTTGCCAATCATTTGCCAAGATCACAAATAGCAGTAGCAGTAGCAAGCAGCTTTGCGAGTGCAGGACATCGTAGTTGCCTTCATGGAGCAGTGCCGAGAGGGTGTGAGAGATGCCCGTGGCCCACAACTTTTGTTATTTGTGATTTCGAGATTCTCGAATCATTGCTGTGCCTTGTCAGTCGAACACAGATGAACGCTGTTTTGTTTCGGCTTTTCCTTCGTTTTCGCGATCCTTCACCTCGCGTTGAATCAGCCGTTGTGCCATGTGTGATCATTTGGACGGACTGGTAGGGCATGATGGTCAGCCTTTTGGCACCAGCACGAAAGGAGTCATAATCGCCGAAGAGACGAGGCAAAAACAAGCACGCAGTCGAACTACAAAGCATACACAGGGCTTGGCCCAATCTAAGTTATGATGCGCTGTGACGAAAGTGATGTAGCGAACCCTAGTGCCGATGACCTGCTTTAGCCACAGAAGTCCCCTCTAGGGCGGGCAAGGTGGACCAACACCATTTTAACACTACCTTGTCCTCTTGTCGGGGGTGAACTCTGCAGTGGTGACAGAACAAGTCAGCTTTGCGGCATGTGAGGCCCCGGGCCGAGATGTCCATCGAGACTTGCTTGGGCCCTGAGGGAAGCAGGGATCAGTCCAACACACGGACGTGGATGTGTTTTGTTTTGCCCATGACGAAGGAATGGAATTGCGGCCCCACCTTTAGAGTTGCGGATGCGTGAGATCGAGGCACCAACCGTCCAGCAATGTGCAGCTAGTCGCTTCACACGGGAGCCGTTGGCCAGGAAACCTCAGTCCGCGTTTTCGAAACCCTGGCAAAACGCGCCGAACTGCTGGTGGGCTGTGTGATCGAGTAAGAAATGTCAGTCGGTGTTTAATCCTCTCGCTCGTGTCAACTGCTTTTTGCGTCGAGGTGGACTCATTGACCAAGTCACCACCGGAATTTTGGAAGGTTCCTCTCATTTGGTTACGGAGTGCTGCTTTTTCTCGTGGCCTTCTTCGTGACCCCCCTCATGTCTCTTCAAGGCCTCAGCTTGTAGTGGCAGGTGTGGACAACCTTTTATCCAGCACTTGCCGACTTCTCGGAGTCACGAGCTAAAAACTGTGCGATGTTGTGCTTTTGAGTCTGTTTGCAACTGTGTGTTCGGTTGCCTCAGTCCGTCGTGGTTTTTTGTAGTGTGGCAATGCGTCAGGTCCAGCCCGATCTTCGAGAGCGCTCTGTATTTTTTCAAGAGGCTCCGAGTCGCACTTCGGAGCATATGCCTGTCCCTCGACGGCAAGCCATGCCAGCCATGCCAGCCATGCCCTGCGAAGGCTTGGTGAACTCATGCGCGAGCAAGATGCACAATTGCAGGGGTCTCAGGGCGGTCCAGATTTCGAGGTTTCAACTCCAAAGTACGGAAGAAGTAGAGGATCTTGCATCCTAGGGCAGCGTCATGTAGCATCTCACGGTAGAGATATCACGAAAGCTAGCCCCCGAGGAGCTAGCGGAGTATCTTACTTAAGCGAAGCTTACAACCTGAAGGGTATATAGGGTCCCCGGAGGCTCCGCCACGAAACCCAGCAAACCCGGTCGGTTTCCAAGCGGCGACCACAGGTTTTGGGGAAACGGGCTGGCGTTCATTTCTTTCGTATATGGGTGCAAATGAACGCCGTTTTCTGTGGATCCCAGGCCCTCGAAAACCTTTCCAAGTCTTAAGAAAAGACTCAGAAGCCCTGATGTTGATGTGAGTCTGGCGTCCCTCAAAGCTGGATTGGACAGACTTTCATGATGCTCTCGCATTGCGTACTTGTGCTATGTTGGGTGCCCGACCTGGGAACTCCCAACAGGCTCCGCGCGGGAAAAAGGTGACGGCTTCATGCCTTGGCGTAGCCTTGTCCTGATGCGTAGTGGATGCCCTGTTGACAGAAACCCTTCCGTGGGGGTACCTTAACTAGCTTTCGTCCCAGGCCCTCACCCTCAAGTCTAGAGATGAAGCGTCGAGCGGCTTTTGTATTGCATCTAGGGTACATGTACATGCCTGCCTTCCAAGGACCCAGCAGATGATGACAGAGGTAGCTCTGGCTTCGCTGGCCAAGGCAGGTGAACATCTGGCATCATTGTAAATCCTTTAAGAATGTTTCAAGTGCTAGAGAGCTCGTGCTTTAAATATTCAAGGAAGTCTCAAACTTCCATTTCTGCTGAGTTTATGCAACAGAAATAGAAGTTTAATAACTTAACGTTTCACACCCTTATAGCAACCTAAAGTTGTTACTCGCCAACCCGGGAAACGAATGCAAAGCTGTTATCAATGGTTTTAAAGCTAGCTCCTTCGAGCTCCTTTTGTTTCTTCAAAGCGAAGCTTAGCGTTGATGCCTCATATTCGTGTCATGTTTTGGCGATTTGGGTCCGAAAGGTCGAAAAGTGTAGACTCGCGTTTACATGTCTTCAGCAAGTCAAACTCGGTTTGTACCTTCGAAAGCATTAACACTTTGACGTTCCCGGGCTTTGAGCTGTTTTGAAGCTTGAAGTTCTAAGTACTACAGGCAGCTCTTTCCAAAGGTCTTGATCCACCTTGGAGGAGATAGACAGCTATCACAGGTAATGATGCAAAAGAAGCCATTCTTCTTTGTCGGTGGATGGAATTCAAAGCGATGTGAGGTAGGGTCTCTATTATGTTTTGGTGAGGGTACGTCGGGTTCCTGGGAAATATTGGTGAGTGGTAATGTTGGGTGTTCTCACACTGTCGGGGACAAGAGCTTATCATCATTTTCCAGGTTCTTTGCCCAAGCTTGGTGCCCTTTCTGCAGCGCCGCTAGCTACGCGTTGTGCAGATGAGCACGCGTCGTGACAGGAACTAGCACGATCTCCTGAGAAGCGAGAGCTCTTGTGCGAAGTGATTTACTGCTTTGTCCAGGAGGACCCTCTGCAGTCGCGACTTTTGTGGTCAAGTTGGCTAAGCTTCCTAGCATATCCACACGGAGCGTGCTTCAGGACACGCTGAATCATATCCTGACATTGCGTGCGCTGAAAGAGAAGGCCGAGAACATGACTTCTGGTCACCTGAAGGCTGTTGTGTCGAATCGCGCCTAGGTTGGCGACGACATGGCAGTGTATGTGCCCTGTTCGCTTCTGAGACCAAGCACCATCAAGCATGTTGTGGTGAAGGTGCATCGCTCATGTCATGGCACTGGGTTCTCGTTGGCGCCCCTCTATTCACACCCTCGAAGAATCCATAGCCGAAGCCCACGAACCTTTGGGGCGATAGGCGAGGCAGGGCGATGTTTTTAGGAACCCCGAAGAACCCAGAAGATGGCCTGATAGCCAGACGGTCCATCGATCCCCTGGACCTGTTGCCATACGCGGTAGCCGTCTATGGTAGACGTCGAAGGACCATATATATATGTATCTGTATATATTGCCCAACCCTGGGAATGCTTAACATAAGTTTTGAGGCATAGGGCCATAAAACCGAGAAGATACATACTGCAATGGGCCTGCTTGCGATTTTCGTAAGGCATCTTATATGTTAAGCATTCCAAGGGCTTAAGGGTCGGGAAGGGTTCATGTCAGAGTTGCACATATTAAGCCTCGGGCCTTTGAAAGGTTCCTTAAAGCTCTAGCCATTGCCGAGTTTAGGTTCGGTGGGGATTTGGAGAACATAGAAACATCATCCGATCATTCTTGTGAAGGGTCGGGATGCATCTCGATGCAAAGTGACATGTAGCGAGCGAGTGCCGAGAACTGTGATCAGGAATGTACATATATATACATATGCCCCGCAGCCGCGCGAGGCTCGGGAGCAGTACCAGAGATTTTTGCTCTTTCCTTTCCTTATCCAATGTCGGCCGGTGCTGCCCGAGAGGAGGTCGCATTCGCCTGGGGTGTCATCCGCGTCTGGAGCTTGACTGAGGGGCAGCCGGCGCACATCATCTTTGACCGTCGATTCGAGGGCGCGCGGCACTCTTTGATATCGCTGTATGCTTACTGCTCTCATCTTGAGCGGCGGGTGTTAAAGCCTCTCCTTGACATGTTAACGGGCATGCACCTGGACGAGGACATGCCCATCGATACTGGCGTTTACCACAGGGGAACTTGTGGCTTCGCAGATTGGCGAACCGTTGACTCTAAGGCCCATGCAGTCTTACTTGAGGCGCTGTACGACTTGCAGATCGTGCTTCGTGGTCAAGGACCAGCTTCGGATGGCCTACGATGTCTGCTATGCCAGGTGGAGGACCTGGTTTTTGCGGATCTTCGGCATGTCTTTTGTGTCGTTTCTCGTAATCCCACGTGAGCCTGGGCCCCCCTTCCTCCTCTCTGCCAACATGTACAGGCCGCTGCCTAGGTTTTTCGGCTCAGGATGGCCGAAGTTTTGTGGACTCGGCTTAGGGATCTAGGGCTGTATGCCCTTGCGCCCACGCTGTTTGAGCATGGCGTGCGCAGTCTTGAGGACATCTTGCCCAATGCGGCAGTGTTGGTGGCATCAGGCGTGTCTGCTGCCCACTTGGTGGCAATTTTACGTGGGAGGCACGAATTGCCTCCCGTCTTGGAGGCTTTTAGGGCTGACCACCCGGTGGTTTTGCCCCGTGCTCGAGCTTCTTGGGCGGCTGCGCTTGAGGCCGCTCTTCCAATCAATCGCGAGAGGGCTCTGGCCGCGCTGAGGGCAGACGTTCTTGCTGCCACATCGCGTCCAGCTGTAGAGAGTCGTCTACGGGCGTGGTATGAATTGTGCAGAGCTTGGGAGGTCCCACCTTTCCCCGTCACCGCTCACACGGTGCAATGCGTCGGGGCCTCCCTCAAAGCAGGCCACTACCACAGCTGTTCGCAGTATTTCTCTGCAGCCATCGCTCACCAGTTGCGCACCCTTAAGCAGCCCATAGGAGAGGAGGTCCGTTGGGCCATCAGGGATGCGATTCGTTCAGTGAAACGTGGCCTGGGCCCGGCCTCGCTGAAGGACTCCTTTGATGTGAGGATCTTGGGAGGCTTGGTCAGCCCTGACATGGACCTCGAGCCTTTTTCATGGGAATGCATTCAGGCCGCCACCGACATCGTGTTAGTTGCATGTTGGTTCATGCTCCGCGAGATTGAGCTCAGTGCTGCGAAGGCTCGTCACTTGTACCTAGAGGGCAGAGATCGGGTCAACTTGTTGCTGCCTGTTTCCAAGACAGATGTCCAGGGGCAGCTCACAGTCAGAACGTATCGCTGCATATGTCGGGCCCAGAATGAGTCGTTGTGTCCGTACCATGCAGCCAAAAGGCACCTGGACAGGCTCGACATCCTCAAGGATCAGGGCGGTGTGTCTCCTTTCTTACTGCCGGGGCAGGGCACGGATCCGGTGTCTAAGGCCACGGTAGTCAGGATGGTGGAGCGAGTCCTCCACGCAGCAGGGGTACCTCTCACCAGGCCCGACGCTGCTGGACATGAGATTGCCCGTTTTCGTGGGCATGTGTTGCGCGTGTCGGGCACGCAGTTCCTTGCCTCGCTGGGCATTGGGATCCCGTTGCTTCAGCTCCAAGGTCGTTGGACCAGTCGAGCGATTGAACGATATGCTCAGCTCGCTCCGCTTCTCAGGTTGCCTGATAGCGTGCTGGCAGCGTGCTCTATGGTGCCTGGGCCTGAACAGCAGGCGTGTTCCACTTCAGGTGAGGGTGGTCTCGTTGTTGTCGATTCACCCCTCTCTGAAGAAGGTGAGGGGCCCTCGCGCGCGAGCGAGAGGCCGGCCAAGCGCCGTGCGAGGCGCAGCCGTACCCCCAGTCGGGCTACAGAAGAGTTTTCAACTGGTGTTGCCCCGTGGGCGGATGAGGTCCAGGACATGCGGGATCAGCTAGCAGTGCTGAGGGCAGCCATTTCGGAGCCGCCAGTCACCTACGTGGTGCAACCACGCAGAGGCGTGGTACATGAAGTAGCAGTCAACGAAGCTCACAATGAAGTGGGCCTGTGGCGCACGTCGTGCGGTTGGGCATATGGATGGAGTTCATTCTATCGGGTGACTGCCCAGGGAGTCGGCAGCGGATTGCGCCGCTGCAAACGTTGCTTCAGCGCTGAGGCCCTCGTGGTGGCATCGTCGTCGGACAGTTCCAGCTCAAGCAGCAGCTCCGAGTCCTCTGCGTCCTCCTGAGCTGGGATGGGCGTTTGCTTAAGTTGTGACCTAGTTTTGTTTGCCGCATGTTTAGGCCTACGGCTCACCATTGCACGCCTGCGTGTGGCCACGAAACAGGCGTTGATCAGCGCTCGCATTTGGGGCTTCTGTGCTTAGTGTAGCTCTTGGGCCATGTCCTTGCAGGAGGCACGGCGTGCGTCTGCATCCTCCGACCTCGCAGAGTCTGAGTCGTCGGAGGGCGAATCTGGAGGCACTGAGGGCTTGCAGTCCATGGACTGATGCCGATGGGGGGGCTTTTTGTGACACTGTTCCCACGCGCGAGTGGGCTTGTGTCCTCTTGCTTCTTTGCTCCGAGGCGCGAGCCTCCGAGATTGAAGGTCGTTAAAGGTGTGTGAGCCTGCAGGTGCCACATCCCATCTATGTTTTTGTACTCATTCGGCCAGGTTGGGCTTAGCTCGTCCGGCCCCTGACGATCACACATGGCCTGGAGCCAAAAGAGCATTTGCTGCTAAAGCCAGCTGTGCGTGTGCTGAGTGCACGTGTCTCCACTGGCGTGTGCACTACTTACATGTGCAAGTGAGTGCTCGCGAGCTATGGCAGCGCGCGTTTAAGCAACTTATTCACATTGCAGAGTTCGGTTCGAGCTGTCGCCTTGGTGTGTTTAGGTGGAAGTCATGGCAGGAGCTGCGCCGGACACATTGGCCAGCTTGGGAGCCAGAGCCGGGGCGTCTGACTTGCTTATGCGCTACCTCACAGATCGAGGCATCACAAGCATTGGGGCCATGTCGTTGCTGGCTCCTGACGTGGACACCCTAGTGAAGGCGCTGGTGGACCCCTTGCAGGTTGGCTTTCAGGGAGCCAACGAGATTTTTCGGCTCACAGCAGAGGAGTTGCCCATTGGCAAGGCCATCTTGCTTTACTTGAGGGAACTCTGCATTGAGTCCAGGCAGAGGGACGCCCAGGCTATGGCCGCCGTGGCACCCCCTGTAGGTGGGCTGTTGTCTCAGACAGCTGCGGTTGCCTCACCTCCCAAGGTGCCTACTGAGCTGGCGCCAGGTGAATGGCAACGAATGATAGGGCACTACAATGGCCAGAAGGTCGATGCCCGCGAGAGGGTCTTCCCAGAATCCATGTTGCTTGGGGCCGACGCCGTCATAGCTCGCTGCAAGTTCGAGCATGAAGTGTCAAAACAGTACTCACCACTCCCCCTCACCGCCATAATGCAGGCCAGGAGTTTTGCAGCCACAGGCGAGCTCAACCCGTTGGCGAAGCGTAAGAAGGAGGCCACCATGAAGCTTACCGCGAATGGGGAGCTGCAGTCTGAGCAGAAGGACTCAGAGTGGGAGGCGAGGTCATTGCTGTCGGTGCTTGATGGCCTGACCTCGTTGAAGTGGCTCTTCATCCTGGTGCAGATTGGCGATGAGCGTGATGTCATTGAGTACTTTGACACCCTTGAAAAGAAGGCTCGCATCGCGCACAACAGGCTGGAACAGTTCAAGGTCTACTACGAGACTGTTGCGTGGCGCTTGGCTCAGAAGATGCGTGGGAATGTCACTTTCGCCCAGGCAGCCAAGGAGGTCCTACAGGATGCTCTCTTGTGGCAGGATACCATGGCACGGGACATTCCCAAACGCCCCTCCAAGCGCTCACTTGAGGGCCAGAATGAGGAAGGGGTGGCAAGGAAGCCACGTCAGCCTGATGTGCCGCCCCCGCCGAAAGGGCCTGGGCAGCAGGGGGGCAGAAGCGGTGGTCGTGGTGGAGGCAAAGGCGACCGCGGCAATCCCAAACAGCCGCGCTGGCATGAGGATTCGTGGTCCGATGCAGCGTGGTCCGGATCCACGTGGTATACGAATCGCTCTTGGCGCCGACCAGCTGAGAAGGAGAAAGAGCTGGCGGCGTCGGCCAGGCCGGCCAAGGAGTGAGAAACCGCGGGAACCTCTCGCCAGCGTTGGAGCGAGGGGGGACCTGACGCAGTGGATGAGCCAACGCATACGAAGGCACCAGCCGTGCCGGCTGGAGTAGCT